CGAAGACAAGGACCTTTAGAAAAACCCTCAATACAGATTTTAGAGTGAAGTTACTGGCAGCTGAAAAATTCTTGCAGTTGAGTTCTAAAGGATAGCAAAGCATAGAGCCACGCCCTAAGTCCATTGTCCTCCTATATGCCACGCATTGGGTCCTCGTCATCGGGACCCTAAAACGGCCCCAAATGTAAGAGCCCGCCATTTGCAGTACAGCTTCGTCTGACACTTCCCATTCTTGCAGCGTCGCGTCTGGTGCACCGCCTTACTCGGGGGACCAAATCTGAAAACAACAATATCCATAGTTGGGCCAAAGTATAAATGGCAGTTTCCATTTTCTTTTCCATTATCCCAATACATCCCCAAAATCCCCATGTAAGCCACAAACATATTCCCAGGTGGGTTCCTTTTTTTTACAGCGAGCCCACTGGCCGGGATTTGATCCAGTACTTGTTGACGCATGGAGCATGCAACCTTCTTCAAGGAATACACGTTTGACAGAACCCCTAATGCCCCTACACCCTAAACTTGCAATCAGATGTTGCGTGGGAAAATCGCTTGGAAAACGACCCCTCAACTTGGGTTCTCTCCCCGTCTCGCGGGTTAGCTGTTAGGAGTTGTTGTGAAATTTTAACACCTGAAGCCTGAAAGCGCATACATTACTGCCATTCCCCTGCCCTTCATTACAAGGCCCCAGATCCAGCTCCCACGGTGGTCGTTGGATTTGCAGAGGTATTGGCAAAGCTGACGTGACGGGTAGCGGCGGTCATCGCTGTGGCCATAACGGACAAGAACGACTCACCAAATGCTCAGACTACGCTCGGAGAAGCTGTTGATTGCCTTGCAGCGTTGATGGAGAAGCATGACAGGCAGGCACAGGCACAGGCGAATGGACATTCGCAGACGCTGTAACTGGCGAAGCCCTCCGACTTGGACCAAGATGTCCGTGCGAACAATGAGATTCGAATTCAGAAGCAATTTGCCTCGAGAACATGAGGGCGGCACAGTCACTGGGCAGAAAGATATTTCAGCAGGAGACGTCAAGCTGAGATTGGAAAGGATGATCAAAAGTGCATTTGTTTCGACAAATTTCACCGCCTTCACGAGCCTGACAATCAACAAATCTGGTTGATGATGGTCAGAAGCAGTCACCACAGCAACATAGCAGAGAAAGTTCTAGCAGGCGCAGGGATGAACAACTTCTACAGGCCGAGCAGCATGTCCATTCTGCACAACCTTAGCTTTCAAAAGTCAAAAGAAGCCTGCTGAGCGAAGATCCTGACAAGTTCACATTTGGAACCTGCCAAACAACGGTAAAGCATGCTAAATCATTCAGCAGGCGGTCTCCTCGGACATGGACTCTGTGTGCACCTTGTGCTCCGACTTGTCCATTGGCGTGCCCTCACCTAATGACGCGGAGCACTACAACACGCACACTGCTTGTCTAGTAGGTTCAAAGCAACTTTGACAAACAGCTCAGGCTAAGGGATACGTGAACGCGATAGGCCACAGCAAAACGCATTCATGAAGGACTGACGTTACAAATGCTTGGTCAGATCGGTGGCAGTACTGGAGCAGATCTAATTGGACAACTGAGGTTCAAATCCCAGATTATCCCAAGCCCTGAATGCAAATGGGAATCCCTGCGCACCCACCTGGGGCGGTATACCACCGGATTTTGCGTGATTGTCCCTGTTGCAAAATAAATGCGCATCGCGGTGCGGAAGTGGTTCCAGAAAAGCTCTGGTACCTCTGCATGGAAAGAGTCTCAAAGGTTTGCGCAGCAGACCGGGGGTTTTCTGCTAATAGTATGAATACCAGTTGTACAGACAGTAATGGCAATAATAACGGAGATCATGATAGTAAATGATAATGGTACCCATAGTAGTGTGACAATTATGAGTCATAATAAGGATTACAGAGATGATAGTAAAGTCTGGTAGTAATGACAACAACACTTTCAAGGGAACAGCTTGTGCTGGCACCCTGCTCGCAAGCATGTACAGAAAATGCAGAACCATCAAAGGCATGAAAACCATGTAGTCATGACTGGTCATGACCTTGCTTTTATGCAGGTGTCCCGGATATGCTTGCGAGGATTTAGGGTTCAAGCCACCCCGACGATTTTTTAAGATTTCATCTCGTAGAAGTGCAACAATTGAATCTCGACGAGCACGTTGTGTTTCCACTGCACAGCCGCTCCTGCAAAATCTTGCAGCCGCGCGGCCGGTTGGATCAGGTCATCAAATTTGAAGCTGTCGTCGAACTGCTTTTCCTGTGAAGAACTTCAGCGGCTTTCTGCTGCAAACTGATGATAAGGTGCGTTGCTACTGCTGCAAGAAAGGAGCCGTGTTTCCATGCCAAGCCAACTGGCGTCGTGTTGGAGCAGTTACCAAAACAGAGCTTTCAAGTGCTGATCGCAGTGAAGGCTACAGAGTGCGTGCTGCTGTTTGCAAGATTTATGACGCTTACGCCAGCTACGCATTTTTTCAATCCCCTTTAGCGACTTAACGTACATTCCCCCCCCGCGGTTTTTCTGAAATCATAAAACGCTCTTTTGTGAGCCCGGCAAAAGCTTCCGAGCAATTTTTTGGGCTGTTATCCTTCTCCACACCTGAACTCTACACCCTGCAGCCTCAAGCACCCTAAACCCTATAAACCCTAGATCTGGGAGATTCTTGAATTAAGGCTGCCCTTTTGGGCATCCCCAGAAAAGGATTATATAGATATATATATATATAATTGGTGGGGTCTATGATGTTTTCCCGTGGAGAGAAACACCCTTTTTCTGTGTCCAGAACTTACTGGGGGTTAGTAGGGAATATATCGCATTTGGTTTATATAGATGGGATCCCTTGTTCCCTTCTAAACCCTAGTCCTGAACCCTATAAACCCTGTGTATGCCTGTGTATATATTATCTCCTACTCATCCCCGGTAAGAGAAATTTGCTTGAAAAGCCGAGCTACCATGGCTTTCACCTGCTGCGTAACTCTCCGTGCAGCGGCCTCGAAACTTTGGGCCTCAGTCAAGATAGTTGAATAGGTATATCTGAGCTATACTCGGGATTCTATAGGGGAGTAGTGTAGGGATTCTTAAGGGGGAGACTACGAGTTTAGAATATAATGACTATAGGTCATATGTATACATGTATATGCGTTGTAATACATATATCCGAAAGCTGTAAAGTGCGATATAACATGAAATGATATACAGTGAAATGGTCTTTGCGGAGCCTGGTTCTTTAGAAGGCATCCCTGTTGATTAGGCACTGACACTGCGCGATGAAATAAACTCCTAAGCCACAAAGGCCCCTTGTCAAGTAGACAGGCCTCAGATGTCTTGCGTCCTAAGCCGTGGAAATCAAGAGGTGTCCATGTAGCTGGTATGCCAAGCTGTTGTAGACACCTGCACTTGCCGGGGCAGCCATTTGCTGTCTGCATGCACTTTAGGACCATCTTCAGTATTCCGAGGCCCCCCTGTGCAATGAGGTCCAATATGCTGGAGACGTCAAGCTGATGAAGTCTTGCAGTCATAGCGGCTTCAGAGCCCTGGTGCATGTCAGCTGCCAGGGATGTTGCTGGCACGGATGCCTCCCGAGTCCGATAGACCATCGCGATCCCCCATGCCCCACAGACTTGACGGTCGAGGTTACAAACGTATTGAATCAGGCTGTTTTGCCCCAAAGGCTGCTGCGATCTTCGCTCGATTCGCGACACAAAAAACCGTCCACCATCTCAACACATCCTGAGCTCCTGATTTTGGCTCTTGGCTTAAGTGCAGCTGCATGCACACGGCAGCATCCCTATCAACCGGCAGCCCCCTTTCCGTTGGAAAGAATTCCGAAGCGAGCACAAGCCAATTCACTACTGGGCCGCTCGTGACAACTAATAAGAATAAACATATGACCAAAACCGTCTTGCCGAAAACCCCCCTAGACCCAAACCCCTTAACTTTGACCAATCCTTCTCGTCGTTGTCTTGAGCCGTCTGGGTCTGCTCGCTGCAAACCTGTGCGCATCTCGCGTCAGGACCAAGGACATTGCGGAGATTTGTCGGGGCACGGAGATTGGCATGTCACTGCGTCCGGATATGGGCTTTGGTTGGACCTGGATGGAGGGGCTCGCACTTCGATCCAGCAATGAGAGGCGGGATGCGAGAAGAGCAAGCCATTTGCCTCAAAAACGCTTCTCTTCCTACTTCTAAGAAGTGCTGCTGGACCTCTACTGATTTTCAAGAGGCAATTCACATCTCGCAGGAGTGTAGCGCCCTTGAAGCCCAACTTCATAAGGTCTACCAAACCTTCAAGCAACCAGCACCCTCGAATGAGCGCATTAGGTACTAGCACTTCAGTAGCAATAGTAATCAGTGCATACCGAGGACACAGGCCAAGCGAGCTAAACGTATCCAAGCAAGCACACAGCTGCAACTTTAGAGCTTCTCAAACTTGTTGAAAATTGGGAACCGAACTGTGAAACACGAACCGAAACCTCGATGCACAGGGGAGCCTGGGGCTTGTACATGCATGCTGCTAGGACTGCTTCGCTGGGAAAATGAAAGCAGCAAATCAGTTCAATGTATTTCCCCGAACCGAAACGAACCGCGACATTATGAAACTTACGCGCCCATCCGTACCCCCAAAAACTGCAAGCCTCGTTACTAGCACGCTAGAAAAAGTGATCATCCTCCCCTGAGCAGAGGAATCCAAGACTCAGCAAGAACTCACATCAGGTTTCTCTAAGCTCTGGGGCCTGTAGAACACGGACTGTCTGATGTCTGGTAATGTCTGGTGGAAGGACACCCTACTTTCATAAACATCCACAGGTATCCAAACTCATCTTGTCATGCAAGATTGAGAAAATAGCTGAGACCGGGCCCTGGACCCCATTCCGGCAATTCTTCTGGCGTCTGACTTCAACTTTGTGACCTTGGGTCAATGAAATTTCCCCGACTCTGCTCGCATGCGGGGTTTGCTGAAGTCAGGGAACCCTGGCAAAAGTATCTCGGTATATGTGTATTTAGGGGTGTGTGTATATATATATATACACCTGTATATGTATGTGTATATGTCAATGTGTATATAAGTGCACATGACAGGCGGTTCTTTTCGAAGCAAAGTTCCACCCAAAGGGACTTCCAGAATTGCAATCTCCAGAAATACTTCGGGCTGGGGCCCTCCCTGATTTGCATTTTGGTAGAAGCCCATGTTGGGGTGGGTTGGTCTTGGGAGCATCGGTTGAGTTTCATGCCAAGCACTGCATGAGAAAAATGCGTTTCTCATCGCACCGCCCTCTCAGCTTGGACGGTGCGATAAAGCCTGGACTCAAGCCTCACTGAGGAGCATGGGAAGCACATGTGGGAGTATTTTTTTCTGCAGATCTGGGGCCATGCCCTCAAAAACTGCGACCCATCCTTTAGATAGCTAAGCCCGCATATTCTGCACCAAAGCAGGAGATTTGCGACAAGCCACTTATCTTGCGGGTAATGAATTTGGAATATCTTAGTCAGTGTTCAGGGTCTAGGGTGTACGGAATGCAGGAATGGATGCCTTTGTACTGCATCTATGAACTATTGCAACCGTGAAAGTCTTGGGCACCAACCGTTCTGGTCCTGAGTGGCACATCAAGTGCGGAGACTGCAAACCTAAGTTCTACTATTAAAGCTGTTCATGTCATCTGCTTTATCGCGTCAGCCTTCTGAAGCTCCGCTCTGCGCATTGAGCCTAGAATTCACCCCACATGAGAGAGAACAAGAACGCAACAAGAAAAACACCAAGCTACGAACAGCCACCAATCCATGGTGACGGTCCTTGACAGAAAAAGCACCAACTAACACCGAGGCTCTATAAAAGTGTGCGACTCCACACTCGATGACGAAGATACAACCTGACATGCACCCTTGCCAATCATGCCCGTGACACATGGAGAGCTGCTACAAGTATGGCACATCAATTTCCATGGATCTGGAACGTCTCAGGCTTGTCAAAGCCCTCCGCTGAGCTCCTTTGAGAATACCGGCCACGCGAGCCTGTGGCTTGTTCTTGCGATTCTGGGCACCTCGAATCTTAGGGGCTGCTCAATGGACTTCTTGCAAGAGGGGTATGCTGAACTTAGGAACCCCAAAGGTTACCAAAGATACATTGAAGTTCCAGAGTGTTTTGAGGATATCAGGGAATGTATGAAATGCTGGCCCTGCTTCAGCAATTCACGACCCAAAAAGTCTGTTAAGCAGAAGCATGGCCAACTCGGAAAGGAATGCTGATTCCAAGGCTGCATACCTCGGGACAGCTGCTCAAGGAGTTCGGCGCCATGAGCTTCCCCATCCTGCAGCAATCCAAAAGTCCCAAAACTGCAAGGGATGGAAGAGGGCGTTTGGGGGTTGGAAAGTTTGGAGTGCGAGACCCTTGGTTTCAGGGCTTGGAGTCTAGGATTCCAGCTTCTGCATTTGGGGGCTTCCCGGTGTGGCTGTTGTCCAATTTGCTTGAAGCCAGCAGATGAACCTTCAGACTCAGGTCTGGACAAAATCGTCGACCCAATTTTTGCTACTATAGAGGCGGATATCTAATAGCAGCCGTGGTGTCAATGCTTTACAACGGGGAAGGGATTATGTACTCCAGGGAGGATACGTCCTGAGATTCTTTGGATGCATAATGCCTATATAATGGCAATGTGGACTGACAAGCTGTGCGTACTGATCACAAGGCCCAAGCCCTACACTTTGGCAAAAACAGTAATAACAGTAATCGGATTAATGAAAATTTAGTAATTACAAGAATTCTAATGATAATCATACTTATAGTAATCGTCGGATAGTAATCGTAATGTACTAACAGTAATACTGTTGATACTAAAAACCCTGCATGACCTACTATACTATGGTACCATGATTCCCAATGTCTAAGGTAAGGGTCATGCAGGATTTTTAGTATCCACTGTAGTAAGCATCATCATACAAGCAATAGTCTTTAGGTGGAAGTCCTCCCTTAGCTTGGCTGCTTCTCGCGACAGCTGCAGACGTGCTTCTTGTTCATCTGCGCCTCTGGACATAGGGGTAATATAGGGTAATGTAAATAGGGGTAACATAGAGGTAATGGAAAAGAGAATGAAAACATGGACTGCTGGTAACTGGACTAGCTCCAGCATTGGTGTGTTTTGGATTTAGTGTGCAGGCTTTCAGGATTTAAGGCTTGAGGGCTTAGGGGTCCCTAATTCGAGCTCCACTAACGTTGCGTCGAAGTTACAAAGCATTCAAAAGGCCTTTCAGGTTGCAAAGCAGATCAGGCCATATATTCGCATTTACCCAAGAACTGTGTTCGGACACAGATGCGGAAAAGCAACATTGTGTGCGCAGCGTGGCATGAAGAAACGATATCCGTTCACTCCCTAAGCGATGTCTGCGTCTCAGCGTAGTTCTGCCTCGCAATTGTTGGCTGAGCTTCATTTCACGCCCTATTCAGGAATTCCGGGGGAATACAGCCAGGTTTGTGTGCAGAGTTGATGGCAGCTTTCTGACAACATGCCTAGCAGGTCACCAGATGTGCCCTGGATCATGGCCCTCAAGCGCTGCCTTTTCCTCCGATGCCCAGCAACCGTAAAGCAACCACGTGGAGCTGACGCACGATGCATCCGTGGGTGTGAGCCCTGTGGAAACATGACCATTGGCTACAAAATAAGTTCAAAGCACAAGTCTTGCCTGCGGCGAGTTAGCCAGAGGCATGCAGGTTTCCACAGATGCTCGAGCGGCTGCATTACTGCGCTCAGCGCAGCAACCTAGTTCACCGCCAAATTCATAAACTCTGTCGTGTTCGAAGTCCAGCCCGAGCTCGATGGGCCAGCAGGCACCCAAAGACTTCAGAGCAACTTGAAATAAATATCTGTGCAAGCCGGGAACTCTCTTATCTAGTAACTGCGGCAATAGAACTTGAGCACGCATAGCGCCAACACGTCATACACTCTACCCAATCTTGACACTCCCGGACTCGCTCAATGCATTGAAAAATCGGACGGTGAGCTGTTTCAAGCCAAAGAGGCTACACACCTGCACATTCACAGGTGCTTCGGGTTTCCCGGTCAGGGCATCTGCAAGGCACTGGTAATGCCGCATGCAAGCATGAGGTTGACCCCAATGAACGAGGTCAGAAGTGCAAAATGGGATGGCGTGAAACAAAACTTTGGCAGCAAACAGGAAGCCGGCCTCTTGCCGTGGAAAAGGAGCAACGTGACTTCCAGGCAGATAGGAAGCAGATTATCCCAGATTGCATCTAAGTTCAAGTTAGCTCTGGAACTTGACGATGGGGCTGGGTTTTCCCGTGGCTCTAAACAGCGGCAGGATTAAGACCTGCAGCGCGTGCGTCGCCGCTTACACAGACCCTGAACCCAAAAACCCTAAGGCCTTGTTTTCAGGGAGCGGAACAGCCACGGCATGGATGTACAGGCTTCCAGCCAGGAGGCCAAGGCTCATGTGATGTAGCTGTCCAAAAACGATAGAATTTTTGGGGTATGCTACGCTATGCTGTCATTTTGGCAGGATTATGAGGTGGGACACGATTGAGGATTTGTCTACATCATCTGCGATGCTGGAGGATTTTCGGGCTT